TGAGCACCCCTGGGACCCAGATTGACATCTTCAACTAAAAGTGATGAGGATTCCGTAGTGAAATGGCTGCTTGTGGGTTTATGAACAGCACACATAGGGAACGAGCCTGGGTCAGTACCAGTGTGCAGTGAAGGAATAAGCTTTAAGAAACCCCTGCGGCCATGGGGAAGGACCGCAAACCATCTCGAAGGGGCTCCACTGACCAAAGGTGGGTGTGATTATCAGAAATAACAGTTGTGGTGGATTGAAACACAGACTTCAAATGTGAAAAAACACTTCAAGTTCATAATAGTTAAAAAATCTTAAAGGTCACCTTAGAAGCTTTCTAGGACACCAACTCATTTTTGTGAAAACTAGAAAATAAGGGAGTTCTATTTTCAAGTAAACACATAGTTGATGAGGGGAAGCTATTTATAGGAAAATTTCTACTAAGTCAAAAAGACACATTCATGAAAGTTGCTGATCATGGGGTAGAAGGCTGATGGGGGAGGCAGAGTGGATGGATCGGACTGAGCACTTGAGCCTACAAAGGTCACAGGGAAGAGAACACAGTCCTTCCAATGCAGTGAGGAAGGGTACACGCACCCACAAAATGCTCTTTTCAAAAAAAAAAAAAAAAAAAAGCTGAATCTAATCAAGCCTAGATCTAACAACTAGTGTTAGGAAGCGTAGGGGAGAGAGGAAAATAAAGACATCTTGATTGCAGCCAACCAAATCCAGAGTTTGACTAATTTTCTGAGGCCGGTGCCTCAGTTTACTCCTCAAATAAATGGCAAGGGAAGAAAGATAACCATAGATTCAAAGATCTGTCAACCAAATGGAATGTGTGACGACCTTATAGGGATCCTGGTTTGAACAGCTATAAAAAGACACGGGCCAAATGGAGAAATTTAGTCTCTGAGGAAATAACTAGGGTAAATTTCTCTTTTTGTTCTTTGTGTCTAAGCTGTATATTTTGAGGTCATTTTATTTATTTATTTTAAAGATTTTATTTATTCATGAGAGACCGAGAGAGAGAGGCAGAGACAGGCAGAGGGAGAAGCAGGCTCCATGCAGGGAGCTTGATGTTGGACTCGATCCCGGGTCTCCAGGACACTTGGTTCCGGGATTCCAAGATCACTCCCTGAGCCGAAGGCAGACGCTTAACCACTGAGACACCCAGGAGTCCCTATTTTGAGGGTAGGCTGTTGTAACAAGAATTAGAGATTTCCCAGGTACCCTTTACCCAGTTTCCCCCAGTAAAACTTCAATAGTATCACATAGAAAAATACCAACACAGTCAAGATAAAGAACATTTCCGTTGCCACAGGGATTTCTTCCCCTTTTGTAGCCCTGCCTATTTCCACGCCTGTCCCCATCATTAGTGGCAACCACTAATTTGTTCTCCATTTCTTTAATTTTGCCATTTCCAGACTGTTATGTAAATGTAATCACACTCTGTAACTTCTTGGGACTGTTTTTTTTTTTTCACTATTATATGGAGATTTATCCAGGTTGTGTATATCAACAGTTAGTTCCTTTTATTCCTGAATAGTATTTGTTATTATAAAAAAAAAGATAATTATTTTGCAATATATACATATATCAAGTCATTACATTGTGTATTTTACACTTAAATTTTATCTATCTGTTTTATCTCAATAAAGTTAGGGGGGAAATGGCATTGTAAAATGAAAAAAATCAACAATAAAATATAATGCCAGGAACTAAAATGTTTCATTTTATTATGGGGGGGAGCTCTATATCTTAGGGATACTGAAGGATTTTCACATGAAATGAGGTGATGCCTGGGATTTGCTTTAAAATCTGAGGGAGAGTTATAAATGAATCCTGATTTCTATATGTTAGTAATTGTTGAAGCTAGATCATAGGTACCTGGGGTTCAATATACTATTTTACCTGTTGTGTGTTAGAAACTTTCCATTATCGAAGGTTTAAAAAATGACAGTATGAGCCTCTTTATAGAGAGGTGGAGCTAGCTATAAGAACTAAAAGTTGAACCAATAAATAAAAGGTGTAGGGAAGGGTGTGCTTCTCATCATAAGCTTTCCTGTGCAATGTGATTTGTTGCTATGTACATGAATTGTTTTAAAATAATTTTAAAGCTATTCACAGGAAGCAAATTAAGTATTGTTTATGCAAACAAAAGACAAGTATTTACATCTATTTAGTGATCTCCTTCGCTGAGAAGAACTGTTGATGATTCTGGAGTGATTGGAATCACTTTGGGGATAGTATGTTCAGTTGTCCTTTATCTGCCTCAAGTCTTAATACGAGCCTAACCGTTTGTAATCAGTGGCTTCCCTAGGATTCCAGTGACATGCAGCTTTTTTATTGCAGTATAAAAGCAAGGCTGTTTTGTATTGGAACAAATTTAAATTCTGATAAGATTTTAGCCTTTGCAGATGAAACCTTCTAATAGGCAAGCAATATTAGAGGTATGTTCATGACAGAGTGCAAGTGCTTTAATAATCTTTGGTCTTTTCTCGGTTGGTGTACTACTGGCCCATAACAATGAAAAAGCAATATTAGTTTTTCATTATGTGTAGCAAATTTTATGAAGTTTTAAATATACCTTTTCTTTTACATTTATTCATTCATTTGTTCATTCTTTTTTATCGGGAAGTCATTGTGTTTCGGGAAGTGTTGCAGGTATGGGAGACATCTTATATGAACAAAGATGTCCAAAATCTTGCTAGAAGGGTATTTTCTGTACCTGTGAATCCCAAACTATTCTAGAAGTTATAACTGATGACAGTGACCATAGGGTATTAACTGTGTAGTACCTGTGTCACACAATAACACTAAGCATACTTTGGAATCAAAAAAAATTTTCCCTATATTCCCATAGTAGTAGGAAGGAATTAAAAAAAAACAAGAATAGCTGACACATAGCTCTTCTGTGTATGGCTCAAGCCTTATTTTAACCATTTCACTTATATCAACTAACAATATTCGCTGCAGTAGTGTGTGCCGGTGTGGTTTCCATTTTGCAGAGGAGGGGGTATAGAGAGGTGAGGTAACTTGCCTAAGATCGCAAAACAGTTAGGTGACAGAGTCAGGCATCTGGCACCAGAGGTCGTGTGTTCTCTTTCACAGCTCATCTGAGGAGCCCAAGTTAAGATTTTTTCTTTTGGTTTCCACATCCATTGACCAAGCTGTCATTTCCCCAACTGTTCATGGAATCTCAACAGATGTTCCATAAGTGTGTGTGTGTGTGTGTGTGTGTGTGTGTGTGTGTGTGTGTGTATTTCATGGAAAAATAGTTAACCCAGCATTTCCCTAATGTGTATGAAGATTATTTATACTGAGGACTTCTCATAGAATTTAACGTTGAATGTATATTGTAAATCACCAAGAGAAACATTTATCTTGTACAGTTCTAAAATTATTTTTCCATGGAATGTCTTATTTTGTTTTGTTTTTACAGGATATCTATACATATCTCAGGGAACATTCAGTTCTGTGCCATTTTTGTACTCTTGAATATCATCTGTTCTTTCACGTCATCAGTTTATATGCTTTCACCCAAATAATCTTTCTTAAATGTAAAATCAAATGTTGTCATTCCCTGAATCACCGTGCAGTGAACCTTCATTGTTTTCAGGCTCATACTCATTGCATACAAGGGCCTTGCTTGCCTTGGGGAGCAATCTTGAAAGCCCCCTGTAGGCCACATACCAATCTGAGTCCATAGAGAGCCTGTCATGGTTTGTATGTATTACAGTTACTTGCCCTTAGACTGGGAGCCCCTTAAAGACCACATCCTGTTTGTTTTTTGTTTCCTATCTAGCCAGTTACTACATGTACATAGTGGTTTCTCAATAGATGTTTGCATGGATTCCGTTTTCTGGCAGCTTTAATTGCTGAAAACATGTTCCTTATGTTGACCTAAAGTCTAGTTCTCTCCAATATTATCACACTGAGTGTACTTCTTTTTGTTCATAACAATACAGTGTTTGAGTTTCACTGAAGTCTTTTCCATATGGAACTTTTTTTTTTTTAACAGAGAACATTAGTTCTCAGTTGCTAACATGGCAGTCAAAATTGAATTTAATACTACATTCCAGATAGTATTAGAACAGTTTCAATTTTTTATGGAAACCCACATGTCCATAGTTATTACCAGACCATTGTCTGTCATCTTCTACTTGTGCTTGTTAACCCATCTCATTTTGACCTACTCATTTCAATTTTGGTTAAATCATCTTTTGTTTGAAGTAGTTCAGCTAGCTTTGTGTTATCTTTTAACTTTTATGTATGCATCTGTTGTTTCTTCTTCCAAACCTATGAGCAGAGGACAGTCTCCCATAGTTTCCAGTAGATACCTCATTCTAGGTTAATCATGAGTCATTCTATAACTATATCTGATTTACAAATATCTCATGTCTTAAGTCTGTCAGCTTTACAGCATCCAATCTATCTCTCACTTACCCAGAACTTATTTTGGCAAATGTTTTGTGGAAATGTAGACCATTAGTTACCATATAATCTGTAAACTGAGTTCTGCTTCGTATTCTGTTTGACTTCGTATGAACTACCCAGGCACCCATGCCTGACTCAGAATTTATAAAAATTTATTTTTTTTAAGATTTTTATTTATTTATTCATGGTATATGTGTATGTGTGTGGGTGTGTGTGTGTGTGTATATATATATATATATATATATATATATATATATATATATATAGAGAGAGAGAGAGAGAGAGAGAGAGAGAGAGAGGGAGGGAGAGGCGTGCACAGAGACAAAGAGACATAGGCAGAAGGAGAAGCAGGCTCCATGCAGGGAGCCTGATGTGGGACTTGATCCGGGGACTCCGGGATCACACCCTGAGCCAAAAGCAGATGCTCAACCACTGAGCCACCCAGGCATCCCAGAATTTCTAAAATTTTAAATGGCATAACTAATCTCAGGTTTTTCTGTAAGAATTAATTAAAGGTTCAGAAGTTCAATGGTGCGACGTCTTTCCCAATTACGGCATTTTACTACATTTCACAGGCTTTAAAAAGTTGCAGGAAGAAGAAAGCAAAGAGAAAGAAGAGTGTTCAGAAGTCTTTATATGGGGAAAGAGACTTCGCTTCGAAGAAGCCGCTCCTCAGTCCTATTTCCGAGCTGCCTGAGCTCTCCGAGGGGATGCCTGCCACTCTAGGCGCCGGAAGGATGTGTTCAGGTATCCTGCTCTTTTCCTGTTGATATTTTTGTCTTCTCCATCACTTTCTTGCTGTTGCACCCTCTTTTGCCTTTTTCCCATTCACTGTTAAAGAGCATATAAATAAAAATAACAACCTTCTGTCGTACTACCATGAGATTTTGAAGTTAAGGAAGCAGTAGTTGGTAACTTTTACCCTCATCAGAAACTGATGGAAACTCTGGATCTTCTCCCCAGAGAAACAAAGACACAAGATAGTACAAGTACATATAATTTTAGGGGAAATAATTTCCTTCCATCCTTTCTCTTTTTAAAGCATTTTAATGTTTTGATTTTTTTATAGCATGCTGTTAAAGTAAAATGAATTCTGTGTGGTGTTATGGTCCATCATGAAAAGTAAACAAGGTGATGGCTCAGTAACAGATGGACCAAAATTTAAAAAATAATAATTGCCCTATGATGTTCAGTAGAATTGGCACTGCCAAGCATCTATTAGAAATAACATTTATGAATTGAACTTGATTACCTTGAAACAGTTATGTTGGCAAGCAAAGATTAAGTCAGTTGACATCCTAGTTAGATAAAAATTGGAGTTACATCTGTTTTATAGTGCCTGAGTTTTAAGATTGACTAAATCATGCTGCAATTAATAAGAGTATGTGTTCATTTGGTGTGTTAATTTTGTATAGAATAATTTCTAAAAATAGCTGTCTTTGTCAGTCATCAAATGTATATAGCCTGCATTCCATTTGCAATATATCTATAGGATTTATAATAGATCCTAGGATGAATACAGTATATGCCACCTTGGACTGTTGGCTTCCACCTGCTTCTTAACTTCAGAAAAGCACAGAGTTAAAGCACACACAGGTAGCCCATCATCACCTACGCTCCTCCAGCCCCTGGGCACCATCGACACCCCAGCCGCTTTATGTACTGTGTCTTGAGACAGGGGGTTGGCCACTTCACCTCTTTTTAATCTGGCCCCAGTGCTGCTTAGCCTTTAAGATTTAGCTCCACTAGCTGCCTTTCAGGGAGAGTCTTTGTTCACACTGCACCTTTACCGTCTAGTTTGTAATGTTCTATCTGCCTCCCTCCCTTGCAAGTTGCAGTCACATTGACACTGAAGACCAAGTCTTATTTCATTATATCTCCAGTTCCTGACAGGAGTTTTTCCAAAGATGTTTAAATGATGACTCTTAGTGTATGTTTTCCATCTTGCATCTTATTAGAGAACTTCTTCTTAAAAACACCTCTGAAGGATTATTTTTTTCTCTATCCAATGGAGTCATGTTTTAAAGGTTTAAAGCAAATTATTCTTCCTCCCTTTTCCATTTCCCCCATCCCTTTCTTTTTTCCTCCCTCCATCCCTGATCCCTGTGTTTCTTCCCTAGCATGTCAAATACATAAACATTGATTTTTAAAGTTGAATGAAAAGCCCAAGTGACATATCAGTTGGTTGCCACCAAGTGGACCCTCTGTTAATCTCTGCCTCATGTGACCTGATTTTAAGTACCTAAATCATGAAATACTGGTTTTTAGATTTTTAGCTCAGCTGATGATTTGTATACCCTATAGTTCTGTTTTTGTTTAAAATATTTTTTATACTTATTTGGCCATTTAAAAACTTTACTCTCTGAGATAACAAGAGAGATGGGATCCAGTAGTACTGAGTACTGAAAGCCTGAATTTTTACGCTGTGTTACACAGCTTAAAATCTTAAAAAAATATTTGTTTTAGAGAGAGCGTGCATACATGGGAACTGGGGGAGGGGCAGAGGGAGAGGAAGAGAATCTTAGGCAGACTCCCTGCTGAGCACAGAGCCAGACCCCAGGCTCCATCTCATGACCCTGGTATCATGACCTGAACCAAATCAAGAGTTGGAGGCTTCACAGACTGAGCCACCCAGGTGCCCCATTTAAAAAAAAAAAAAAAAAATATATATATATATATATTATATTAAGATTTATATATATATATATATATTAAGATTTATCTATTTAAGGCTGTGTTCCATAGCTTTAAAACCTCAATGGTGTTTCTTTCACCTGTGTGATGTGACACAGGGTGTCAGAAACACTGGGCACCTCCGCCTGGCATATCTTCCTAGGGTCTGACTTTGAGATTGAGGTGGAAGGGACAGAGTTTTTAGGATATTGAAACAAAGCTCTATGTGACAGTATAGTGCAGTTTAAATTATATTAATTTTAAACACAGGGCCTAAGACCTAAGTGTCTGCAGAAGTACCCTCAGATCTGCCAGAATTCCAAGTTTTCTTTTCTCTATTTCAGGGGAAATGTAGCTAGAAAAGTTTCAGAAGCACGGCGGTGCCCACTTTCAGTGATTCATTTTTTGTGAAATGGGAAATGTGGCCGCCTTGTGCTGATTGACCTTGTAGTGTGGAAAGTACATTACAGGAAGCAATTTGAGATACACTTCTCATTTTCATGGTCTGAGATTATGTACTTTATCCACTCGTGTATTAAATACATATTTTCTTAACCTGTGGCTTGGAGAAGAACTAGAAAGGAAAGAGCAAGATGACAGATGGGGGCAAGTACAGGGCAGCATTTGCTAAGTCTTGTGAGTTTTGAAAGCTTAACACAGAATAGATGATATGGCACCTGTTTGATATGTTGACTTTTATTTCCATTGTTACTTTTTAGTGAGACTTAAACTTATTTACATCCCTTAGATGATTTCAAATCCAACGGTGAACTTGAAGAAGAACTTGAAGAAGCAAAGCCTCCTAAAGGAAAGACTCTTTTGCCCCAGAGCCCCGAAGATTTGCAGATGAATCAGGGCTTTAATAAATACGATCTGTCTGCATTCTGCAGCTCTTACACCAAAAGTTCCTTGTCGCTTATTAACTCTGCTTTAGATCAAGATTTAAACATAAATGCTGTAGCAACTAGTGAACCTAAAATAATTCCAAAAGCAGAAATTAAGTCAGAAGGTGCACATGAACTGAAGGCGGGCCCTGAGAGCGAAAGCAGTCATGCTTTTTGTGCTTCTGTGACCGCAGAGCCCCTGGCAGCCGATGACGCAGAATCCAATGTTCTCCTGCCGTCTCAGGAACTGGCTACTGCCAGTCAAAATGTGGAAAACATTTTCCAAATCTTTAAAATTTCAGAAGATGTAAACATAAAGTATGAAAAACAGGATGACTTTTTCATAGCTACAGAAGGAAAAGTGCAGACCATGCATTTAACGTCTGACTTCCAGAATGAAGAGGTCTTAATCAACAACGTAAAAGAAAGTAAAAGTCCGAGTGCAGGTTTGAGAAGAAACTTCATAAAAGGTAGAAGTGGCACTGGTATGCGTGGTGGAGAAAAGAAGCACAGAAGGCGCTCTTCATGTTATTCCGATGGGCAGAGTTTATATTTGGAAGAAAATGGAAATCACGAATCTCCCTACCTTGCGAGCAGCTCTGTAGAAATTGGTCTAGAAAATTCTGAACTGTATAAAGATTTATCTGACTCCATCGAGCAAACCTTTCAGAGAACAAACGGCGAAACAAAAGTAAGACGCAGCACACGGCTACGGAAAGATTTGGAAGATGAAGGGCTCGTGTGGATTTCACTTCCATGTCCTTCCACTTCCTGCACTTCCCAGAAAACGAAAAGGAGAACGATATGTACAGTTGACAGCAGAGGATTTGGAGGCCTGTCCCTCTCTAAAGAAACTGTGTCTTCTGGACAGAAACCGAGTATGCCATTCCCGGTATCAGGTAAAGAAAACAGAGAGGGCTTTGCTGCTGGTTCTTCCAGTTTACCTGGAAAGAGGAGGAAGAGTGTCTGCACATCTGTGCTCGCAAATACAAGAGATACTACTACTCAGGCAAAATGCTACAAAAGAAGAACCTCTCTCAGCCAGAAGGGAGAGAGCTCTCCGAAGGACTTCCAAAGAATCGAACATGTCCAGGAACTAAAGCAGTAGCTGGCATTTCCTACAGAACGCAGGGCAGCAGAGAAGGTAACCATCCGTGCTCAAAAGATTCATTCATTCCAGTTCATGTCCCTTGTTCAGCTTCGGTGTTTTAAAAGCTTCAAATAAAATCATTTGAGTTGAACTTATTTTTAAGTAGAAGTAAATTATTTTCTTCATTGAAAAGGAAAACATTCTATTTAATATTGTTCTTCTCTCCCCAAATAGTACACACTTACTGAAGCTTTCACATTGCCACATGTTCACTGAAGCGTTTAAGTCTCTATTGCAAAAACACAAACAAACAAAAAAAAAACCTTGTCTTTTAGAATTGACTCATTCTGTCTGGATGAGAAGCGTTTAAAAAACAAAATGATAGAATTAATGTAATTTTGTGAAGATGGAAGGTAATACAAGGTTAAAAACTGTTAGAAAAAGAGAAAAGATGTGTTTTAAAATGCAAAAAAAAAAGGTTAAAAAATGTTAACAGGAAAGATGGAAATCATAAGACGTTTTAAAGTTGAGAAGCTTTAATTTACTTTGTCTCAAATGAAAATTTTGTATTAATAGGTTAAAACCAAAACTTAAACATGGCACCTTGGAAAATTCCTTCAATAATCAGAATATTATAAATCTAGCATTCTAAAATGAATATTTAGTTTATGAATAAATACGGTGAAAACATTCTGTTCTTCAAAAAAGCCTCTTACATGGTTTGTGGGGTGGGACATGCAGGTTTGGTTTTTGGTGAAAACAGAGCAGTTTAGTTGATCATTCCAGTTAGTCACATTTAGGATTTATTCAAAGAAACCCCAAATTACTGATTTGGGAATTAATTCATGGTTCTTGATTAAAAAAATTTTTTTCTTTTTTTTTTAATCCAGAAACTCCTATGAAAGGGCCCTGGAAAATTAGGTTACTAACACAAAGATGGTGGTAGATGGCTGATTTTTTATTTAATCTGGCCTTTTCCAGCAGTTCTCTTTATTTCACGATCTCAAGTACAATCACTTGTCTTGATTTTCCAGTTACATTTCAGCAGCGTCCTCTCCTGTTACCCTTTTGATGACAGCAGTTTGAAAATCTAAATTGCTATATATCTGGAATTTGTGAATGCACATAAATCATTGTATCATTAAACAATTGTCTTTGAAATCCTTTAAATCATTAAACTCTCCGTCTCCCTGATAGCAGAAACATGTTAACAAATAGAGCTCTCTATAAATAACACAACAGGGAAGAAAGCTCCTGCTGAGTGCCCATTTCCCCCGCCTCAGATAGAGACTATTTGTTACCTTCTTGGCACCAATAGGTCTGGAACTCCTGCTGTTAAAGACTAAATGTATTTTACATTAACACTCAAAGTGATCCCCGATTTCTTCAGCTAAAGGCTGGATTGTTTTAAAAATTCTTTTATCTTTACACGTAAATTATTTATGGGCTTTTTCCCTCCCCGTTTATAGTTTGGTATAGTTGGCAAATCTCTACCACTGAAAACTGAAAATAACACCCCACACACACACTCCCCTCAGCAAAACGAACTATTCTGAAACTTTTTGGTTTTGGTAATTTAGAAAAGAACAAAAACTTTCAGAAACATACAATGTTAAGGGTCCTGTTTTTTAAAAAGCTTTTTGTTCTCTTCCTTTCATGTGAAGGCTAAAACTACTGGTATTTTTTTTCCTCCCCTTGTTGCTGTATGATGATGTGTGATCTCCCTTGTATTTGGATTTTAAGAATCTCACCCGCTTTGTTCTGTTTCTCAAACCGTGCTAATTGCGGACAAGGGACACATTTGATATGTGGGTTTTTTTTGGCTTGAGTTTTTAAATGTTAAATTCTTGTTTTCTGGCATCTCCAGTTAAGAATGTAAACACTTGATGTATTTTGTTAGTTTTGGGATGTATCAGCATAAATGTTCTGTTGATTATCTGTAAATAACAAATAGTTTTCCTAAAAAGAAGAGGTCTGAGAAATCAAACCAATTGGGACATAATTTTATCCACTGTCTCATTTGTATTCCTAAGATTTGTGAAAAGTTAATTATTTCTGTACTTGATCATGCTTGCTTGTTTTTAGCTGTTTCTGTTCATTAACGGTCGGATTGGAAAGTGGGCTTTGGAAGAGTTTGTTCTTGCCTTAATCTTTTTTTACTGCAGCAGCCCATCGCTCCTGTCGATGCTTGTTTGCTCCAGAAGGTGGCAGCATGACATCTGGATACATTAACTTGGAGCCCGGGCAGCCCTTCGTTGTTGCTGTGGGTGCTTCTCTGTCACTTTAATTTTCACCCATTTTTATCATGGGAGTGATATGTGTCTATTGGAAAAAAGTGGAGAACTGTACACCATTCCAGACTGTCTCCCTGCAGCCACACCTGCCCCTCCCCAGCTTTCCGTGTGAACACTGTTAACAACTGGCCTACGTCTTCCAGACCTTTGCTTGTATACCCACAAGTGTAGGTTTTGTTGTTTTCTGATGGGATCACTATAATGTGCCGTTCTGCAGCTTGATTTTCTTATTCACCAAAACACCAGGATTGAGCTTCCATGTTGTCATGGGGAATCCTAGTGCAGCCTCAGTCTTTTGAATCCCTGCAGAGTCATACACTCTGCACGTCTATAACTTAGTTAGCCTCTCCTTACTAACGAGTCTGGTTGTCTCCACTTTTTTGTGATTGAAAATTACGCCACACTGGACTTGGGTCAAAAATATCCCTAAGACAAATTCCTTGAAATTAAAATTAAATGGATATCAAGTTATCTTCCCTGGTTCATACGTGATAGAGTTTTTCTATAAACATTCTGGCATGAATTTCCTTCATTCCGCCATCACCTCAGTGCCAGTTTGCTTCCTTTTTCTCTTGCTCTTTCTCTTCCCCATGGCATTTGAGCTGTGGAGTGGAGTGTGGGGCTTAAGACTTAGCACGATAAGGAGGAAATGGTTATTAGTGCCTGGTTCATGCTTTAGATTGGAAGAACTCTTTTTTTTTTTTTTTTTTGAAATCAGACTTATTGAGGTGTAATTAACTATAATAAACTATAGTGAAGTTTACCTTGTTAAATGTACAGTGTGAATTTTGGCAAATTCATACAGTCCTAGAACAGCTGCCACCGTTACATAAGAGAACACTTCCATCACCCCAGAACACCTCTTACCTCTTTGTTGCCGTCAGACCCTCTGTCCCCCAACCCCAACCTCTCACAACCACTTAGCAAATTTCTATCCCTCTAGTTTTGTCTTTTCCACGGTGTTGTATAAATGGATATGAGCTATATCCTTCTGTGTCTCTTTTGAAATTTAGCAAAATGCCTTAGAGATTCATCTATGTTTTATGTTATAAGTAGTTGATTCCTGTTTCTCACTAAGTAGTAAAAGTCTGTTTAATGGATGTACCAGTTTTCTTTACTCATTCACCAATGGAATGGATATTTGGATTGTTTGGTTTTTTACCATTACAAATAAAGCTGCTATAAACATTCACAGATGGACTTTTTTTCTTTAAACACATTTTCATTTCTCTTGGGCCAATATCTAGGAGTGGGGATTCCTGGGGTGTGTGGTTGAGATATGTTTAACTTTTTGAGAAACTGCCAAACTTTTCCATTGTGGTTGCACCATTGTGCGTGCTCACCTGCAACACATTCAATTGCTCCACATTTTCACCAGCACCCAATGTTGTCTTTTTCATTTTAGAATTCTCTGTATCCCTAACAGCTAAAAATGTAGAACATCTCTTCCTGCACTTGTTTGCCATCCTTATATCCTCTTTAGTGAAGCGTCTATTCAGATGTTTCTCCCACGTTTTATTTATTTATTGATGTTTTCCTATCGAATGAAAGAGTTCTGTGTATATTTGGATACAAATTCTTTTTTTTTTTTTTAAGATTTTATTATTCATGAAAGACACAGAGAGAGGCAGAGACACAGGCAGAGGGAGAAGCAGGCTCCTCACAGGGAGCCCGATGTGGGACTTGATCCCAGAACTCCAGGATCATGCCCCCAGCTGAAGGCAGGTATCAACTGCTGAACCACCCAGGCATCCCTGGATACAAATTATTGGATGTATCTTGCAGATATTTTTCCCCAGGTGTGACTTGTCTTTTTATTTCTTAGCACTGTCTTTTAATTTCAGTGTAATCTACAACTATCTTTTTTCTTTAATGGCTCATGCTTTTGTGTTTTATCTAAGAAATCTTTGCCTAATTCAAAAACAAAGATTTTCCCCTGTGTTTTCTTGTAGAAGTTTTAGAGTTTTAGCCCTCAGGTATTAGATGCATTTTGAATTAATTTTTGTATATTATGTAAGGTCAGGGTTTTTTTTTTAATGGAAATTATTCACCATTTGTTGAAAAGATTATACATTTTTCATTGAATTTCTGTGACACTTTTGTTAAAATTGTTTGACCTTATATGTACAAGCCTATTTCCGGACTTCATTCTTTTCCATTGATCTCTGTTCTTAAACCAACATCACAACATCTTGATTACTATGGAAGGCTTTTTTTTTTCTTAACTATGATTTTTATCATAGTTTATATTTAAAAGTTATTTTTTTGTGAGGCCAGTAGAAGCAAAAGATTGACCAACCAATTCTATCTGGAGCCTACAATTATACCCAGACTTGCATTACCATTTAGGGGAAAGAATCAATAATAAGCTATCAGAAATATAGGAAGGAAACAAACTTCATTGAGTCCGTGTACATTCAGCCCAGTGCCCTTGCTCAGTTCATGATTCTAAATTGTCACCCTGAGCCCCACTGTAAGATTTAGTCATTGAGAAAGAATTCTCTTTTTGAACACTACCATATAAAATCGGCAAGAAAATAAAGAGAATTGGATTAAAATAAGGTTCAAAAGTCTTTGCCAAAAATATTAAATTATAAATCTGATTCATTTCTTCTCATAAATAAAGTTTTTACTATAGTTTGGTTTTTGGTTTTGGTTTTAAAAACTGCCACTACCTTCACTCATAAAGTAGCCTTAACATTTGAGAATTATTTCTTAAGCATAGGAATATTTTCCTGCACCAGGTCACCCTAAGTAGACAGATTGTAGATTCAATAATATGTATGCCAGGCATTAATTTCTAATGTGATCACTCTCTTCAAGATACTCCATTTTCTCTAAGGGGCAGAATTACAGTCCAGGGTGATTTGAAAGGAACATTTTGGTACTCTCAAGTGATACCACCTGGAGATCAGGTAAGTTTGATTTCTTTCTAGAAGTGATGCTTGAACAAAATTTACTAACAGGAGTTTTAGAGGAATGGGGATCCAAAAGGCATATTCTTTTCCAAATGTGATTATCTTAATTATTTTGTAATTTCTGCAATTTTTTTGCTGTGTTGAGGCAATGTAAGTTGTCTTCATCTCATACACATTTTTGCTTTCAGTATTTTTCTTAAATTTCCCATTAGATTCTAACCTATGAATAAATCTGGACAAAGCTTGGATTTGAAACTAGAGAGTATGAACGTACATAACAAAGTTTTAAAGAAGTCTCTCCTCCTTGAATGCTGATGCATTTCTGTCTTTTGTATTACCAGATTTCTTGGTAGTGTGTCAAAGGGTTGACCCGGGACTTGGAATCCATGATCAAGTGAACAGAACTGCAATGAAATTAAATCACAATAAGTAATTGTACATGCCAAAAAAAAAAAAAAAGTGTTGGGTGTTTCCTGTTTTGTTTTGTGGTTGGTTTTTGTTGATGGTCATGGTGTGTTTTTTTTTTTAACCTTTAATTTATTGGAGATTATTCCCCCCCCCCTTTTTTTCTTTTTTTCTTCTTTTTTTTTTTTTTTGAGACTATTTCATAACCTTAACTTGGCTCTAGAACAGATTAATTACCAATGTACTGTGGCCTAACAATTTCAAATTTGTCTACTGTTGTACTGGTGTGTTCATCTTTGTACATTCTTTGATGCTTCTCGTTTTTTATTAAATCATGATACAGACTGCAAGTAACATAATAGCTTTGGTGAGAAGATGAGTAATTACTGCCATTCTCCTGATACATAGTTTTGTCCCACATCTTCAACCAAAATCCTACTTAGCCTGGGGGTGACCTTAATTTTAAGATTTATTAGGACTTTGGAAATTATAGGATACTGAGAAGCAAGTGTTTTCTGGAGCTGCAATTTGTAGATACCATAAGTGTTATATCAGTTATATGAAAATGGGGAATACATGAGCATGCACACTAAAGAAAAATACCAGTTTGCATTTTCTAAGGGGCAGGTTGGGATGTCCAAAATATCCAAAGTCCAGTTGTAGAGCAGTTTTCTTAAGGCTTCCTTCTCATCTGTCCACAACATACACAGTGTCTGATAAATGGTTTAATTTATATTAATCTGTGAATAAAAGTGGCCTGTGAAGGTGCAAACAGCTGGCATTTTGGTTTTAGATGTAATTTAAGAAAATTCCAATTACATATTTTTTAGAGTTCCAAATTCCTGAGGGTATTTGTGAATTTTTAAGCTCTGAAATGTCAAGATAGCTCTTATATATACTTATTACGTATAATAATTTTTTTATTCTATGGCTTTACTTACCTAACTTAACATTTGCTTTTTAAAAAAATTTTTTTCCCACTTGTTTGAATGTTAAATATGGTGATTTGCTAGTGACATTTCTATTTTTTGCTGCTTAAAAACAAACTACATTTCCAGTGTTGTGGGGTCTGGTAAGCATGAAGTAAACGTCAGTTTTTTTCTCTCTCTAGGCATATCAAATAACTGCTAAGTAGCATCAGGTGTTTGCAAAAATAGGTTCTTCCACATGTATGGCCCAAACAGTGACATAATTTTTGTTTAGTATAAAATTGGTGTCAAACTGTTGAAACTTGATAGAGAGCAAAAGGATTTTTCGGTTCAAGTAAGTTTGGTTAAGATGCCAGGCACTTGGATGTAAAGTGTGTGATTTTTATGCCTAACATTTGAACACGGACAATGTGTTCATTTTCTAATTGTTCATAACAGAACAACAATCCAAAACCACCAGTCTTTTTCTTGTTTTAAGTACACGTTGGGAATGAAGATTTCAGAAGTATTCCCTAACTCAAACCTGAAAAACCTGGTGTTGGTCTTGGGTGATTTCCAGTGACCCTGTGACTCCCTTCTTCCTGCCCCCTGTGTAGATTTGGAACTGGGCAGCCATTTTTGTTTTTGGAAGGGAAAGGAGACAGATATAATGAATGGCTTTTATTGTGCAATATTTCAAACTCTCTTGAATGCATTCGAATGGGATGGAAAGTGTTCTGCCCTATGTCATAGCCAAAACAAACAAAACATATTCCCTAAACCTGCATGTGTGTTTTTCTCAAACTGGCAGTAGTTAGAGCTCTAGCTCTCAAACAAGAATTTGGTTTGACAATTTTTAGCCCTTGTTCAACTGAGAATTAGGATAGGTCACAGCCAAAGCAAATATTGTGGGGAAAAATTAATACACATATTTACAGCTTGCAGGTGGCTTTTTTTTTTCTTAAATGGTATTTGTCTTAAGTAATTGCATTTGTAGTAATACTTTTAAATAGGCTACCTTTTTTTGGCTGATATTTTTTAAATGAACTTCTCTCCGATAATAGTAACTCCAAATGTAAATAAATTCTACAGAGGTCCCCACAGAGTGATAAATGTTTGAATTTAAGTATTTAAACATTTAGAAAGACCACTAAGAATCTGAGAATTCTAGGAATATCAGACCCAGCAAATATGCAGTAAAACTCCCTTGATGGTAGCCTTCTATGGCCCCCGAAGAATTCCTTCTAGCGAGTATCAATGACTCCTTTATGATGATGCTTCCAACATTGTTTACTGACTCCAATAACTCCCTCTTAAGTATTCCCACCGTTTGGATCTGTGGGGAGAAAGTACTCTGCACAATCAAGATAATTCATTTTGTAATGCACCATTGTGCTTCATAACCCTGGCAAAATACATTTTTTATTAGAATAATAACTTTAAATTTATGGTCACCCGTGACCATGGTTTGTGCCTTAACCAAAGAAATACTGGAAACATAAATTTTTTGAGCCAGGCAGTCTGCCTCAGAAAATGGTAGCAAAGACTTCATTCAATCCACCTTTAGGTCCTTCCTTTGAAATATAAAATTCAAACTTTCATCAAATGTTTTATTGAACAATATCAGACATCTGTGCGAATGGACATAAGCCATTGGATAATTTCATTGACCGTTAACTTTTTGTACAATAAACACTCCAGACAGAACACTGCCTTCATCTTGCATTTCAGTTAGTAACATTGCATATTGACGCAAAGATAGCTATTTCCCAAGCACTGCAAAGTCCAATTGTATTCCTATCAAGCAGCCTGACTGGCATGTTCCAGACATAAATCACTGGAAGGAGCGGGTGCTTAGCGTGGTGCAGCGTGTCTGAATGGTGGGAAGTGGAAGGACCTCTGTGTTGGGTAAGTGCATCCACGAGGTCCACGGCTCTCAGGCTGTAGAGAAGCAAATATGA